GTAAGCCCATATCAATAAATTATGCCTAATCAAACTTAGGTTCCTTTCATCATTATCTTATACCTTTAGTATTCATTCCCACATGTGTTCCCTAGATTTCTGTCTGTTTGAATTAGAAAAACTCAAGCAGTTCTTTTGGAGTGTAGTGTGACCTCCTCATGGGTCAAAATTTATATTCACCTTTAGAGGCCTGTTACAATGTGAGTATAGTTATAGATCTAGAATCAAAGGAAAGTGGTAGGACGGTAGGAGTGGGTCCTGAGGAGAATCAGCATTGTCTTTTATGACTCTGGGGAGGCCATACAGTTTCCTCAGGCAATGCAAGTTTAGTCCCTCAGATGGAACAGAGAGGCCAGTACCTCTGGGTGTGGATGCCACTCTGCCAGGTGTGGTTAGGCTCCCTTAGAGTTTTCTCGCACATCCCCATCCTAACTTACAGGATCTCATTATTTCCCAATCAATGCCTGCACGTTAATGGTAGATATGCTGAAGTTCCAGAGGGTTAAATTGTTTTGTAGTTTAGCCAGTTGCACAATTAAAATCCAGCATTTGATTTTCAGTAATCTCAACTCTGTAGCTACAGGAGATAAGGGTCTCCCTTCAGAGCACATATAAAAGTTTTCAGGTGACTAATGTGGTAATTGAGCTGTGAATTCAAATCCCTGAGCTCATCTTTTTCTTTCACCACTTTGTCCAGTAGTATTAAGAGTAACCAGCTAATCTCATTGCATTTGCTAGTTTTCCAAAAATGTTTGAAAGTATCATAAACATAGTCACTCAGCCTCTTGCTTCTTATGAGTGGTTGATTAGGAATATCTAATGTGTATATTTTTGTATCTTTATTACCAATTCAAGCCATGAACAAACAGTGCTATCTTTATTATTGTAAATAAAGTTACCAGGATTTTTATATCTAATCAGATTATAGAGCCAATTTTAGAAACCCCATAAACAATTCAGAAAATTTATCCTTAAAATTCCATTCCTCTAGAATCTCTTTCAGTACCAAAATCTGTATTTTGTCAGAGTTCTTCACAGAAACAGAACAAATGGTGTGTGTGTGTGTGTGTGTGTGTGTGTGTGTGTGTGTTTGTATGTGTGTTACAATTTATTTAACATTGGTACATACAATTATGGAGGCTGGGAATCTGCTGTGTGTAATGTGGAGACACAAGAAAGGTGGTGGTGTAGTTCCAGACTATGTCTGATGGCCTGAGAACTAGACCTGATGTAAGTTCTGATCCAACTGTGAAGGCCTGAGAATCAGGGGCATCAAGTATAAGTCCCAGTCCAAGGGCAGAAGAAGATCAATGTTCATCTCATGCAGTCATGTAGACAGTAAATGCTCCCTTCTTCTGTGTTTTTCTTCTATTCAGGCGCTCAGCAGATTAAATGATGCTGACCTACACTAGGAAATGCAACATGCTTTACACAATCTACTGATACAAATACTAACTCATCTGGAAACATCTTCACAGACACACCTAAAAATAATGTTTAACCAAATATATGGACACCCCATGACTCCGTGAAATGAACACACAGAATTAATCATCACAGGTAGTTTCAGGGAAAGTATTAAGGAGGAGAAAAATAACCAAGACAGAGCCCAACCAGAGGTATCTGGGTAGGCTGCATAAGGTGGGGTCCAGAGGCAATCATAACTTAGTTGCAAATTCCCATAGTAGAATAGTTAAAAGTGCCATTATCACTTCTAGTTTATTATCATTGCAACTTTATTAGCTCTTCCTTATGTTCTATTTTTTTCTAGAACTCAGAAGAAGGTTTATATTTGGCTTCCGCCTCAACCATTTCACAGTATAACTCAAATTAACCTTTGATGGAGGAAGGAAAGAAATGAAGAGTAAGTGGAGGAGGAGTGATTGAGTGGTTCTGGGTTCTATGTGGAGCAACAACTTAAGTCTCATTTCCTTGCAATGCCCTAGGAAGACAGTGGGATCTCAGAAGGGAGTACCTCTAGGGTGCATCTAGAAAATGTAGACTCCATGGTGTCAAACCCAATAGTCAATTGATCTTACTTGGTCCAACAACGCAGTCAATACATATCTCCTTCTTGATACACTTTCTTCATTTGGTTTACATATACCAGTCTCATGCTTACTCCTACTTCACTGTCTTCTACACCTGTGATGGACAGGTCTTATGCATGCTGACAGCTTCCCCCATCAAGTGCCCGCGTATCTTAGCTTTTGTACCTGTAATTTTCACTGTTACTCAGGAGTTCACTCAGCCCATACACAAGGTTTAACACCAACAGGAGCAACTCTCAGTCAATGGGATATGAGATTTGGTAGATAAATACTTCAGCTTACTCATTCCTTGATGAGGATATTTTGAAATAATTTTTACACAGTGCCTCAGAAGACCCCCAATGAGATGGAGACTCAGTTGCCCCTAGCAGTAACCAACTTATTAATGCTCGCTTTATTGGATTTTATTTCTTTCCTACTAACCTTCCTCAGTCTCTCACAAGTGTTTCCTGAAATTATGACCTAATAAAAAATCTGCACCTAAATCCTTGTTTCAAGGCAATCCAAGCTAAATGTTGTATTAAATGTTGGTTCTCTGAGGCTCTGTTCTTGGATCTCCTCTCCTTTTCTGTCTCACTCATTTTCTTGGGACTGAAATCCTTTAGTCTAATGGCTTTGAATACTACGTATGTGCAACGGTTTCCCAGATTATGTATCCAAGCCCAGACCACTCCTCTAAACTTTTATCTCCACATGGAGGTCTAATAGGTATCAGACTTAACATGTCTAAACAGAGCTTCTGATAGCTCCTCTCCAAAAAATCTGCTCCTCTGGAAGATTTACCACAATTTAGTAAATCTGATGCGTTAGAGGAAAGGAGAGAAAACCCATGTGGAGGGAATGTGTTGTTAGAGGACAAGAGTAGCATGAGATGAGGTTGGAGGAGTAGGCAGGGACCAGATCACGCGCAGGCATTTAAGTCAAAGTAAGAAGTTTACATTTAACTCGTGTGCAATGAGAAGCTCTCAAAGGCCCTTTAGCAGGGTTATAACCTGATTTAAATTACGTTTTAACAGAGAAATGAGGCATTAAGAATAATTGAAAGTTCATCAGGTAACAAAGTTGAAGAGGGCTTTTCCAACAGAGGAAACAGGAAGCATGAATCGCTGTCAGTTCTGATTTGCCTATCTTCTATAAACCACTTTCACTAGACCTTTAATTGATCTGTGTTTTAATGTGGAGGCCATGAGCTTTAAATGTCACCTTTGTAAAAGAATTATCGGGCATTTATACAACCAGGTCCACATAAAAGTAATATCTTGGAGTAATAGAAATAGAAATAGACCTGTGTTTATAGCCCCTGGTCCTTATCTTTTCAGATCCATAAACATGATTTTACAAATGCAATGAGAGTCAATTCATTAGTAATAACTAGGTTTAGCTACTCAGCCTTACAAAAAATTATGAATTATCATTTTATGAATTTAAAATAAATATATTATCTGGGGTTCTTTTGGTTGGAAGTATAAAAAGCAACATAAGTCAATCAAAAACTTCAAAAAAAATTATTATGTACAATACAGAAGTTTGTCACAGAACCCAAGGCCAAGAATGCCATTTGACCTCAGGAAGAGACACAGATGAGAAACCAAAAATACTTTCTGGGTTTTCTGTGTGTTTCATCTATGTTCCCCTCTGAGCATCTGTTTCATTCTTACTCATATATCTCTGTGGAAGGGCTTCCTCTGATTCTCTGATCCATGTGGTAAAGCATTTTCTTCCCTTCTCTAAAGCTAGGTTTCTCTACCTATTTTCCTCTGCTAGCTTTTAAATATTTATTAAACAAATTGAACTACAATGGAGCCACGGGTTAGGATACAGAAACACACTCCAGTGTCATTAGCAGTCATGGGATCCCATAGCCAGTATTCAAGAGTCTAGCTCTTTCTGTAGGCAATCTGTCTCACATTTCATATCTGAATAATGCAGAATAAACATGACAAGCATGCCCTGAACCTAATGAATGGACAAGTCTGTCAGAAAATAGTATCAGTTCCATGCATTTCCTTAGGGACTCTTTTTTCAGAGGACCCAGTTATTCCACCATTTCAGCTTTACAATGTCAGAAATTCATTCTCTCTTCAGTGTTTTTTCATCCTTCGTTAAAATCTAGTGCCTTAAGAATGAATCCTCTAGGACAGGTAGTGACTTACAGAATCATAGTTTTGCCTCCGGACTCCCAGCCAAGTGTTGGGCTCTCTCCCTCCCATTCTCCTCCCATCCCACTGCACCCCTCCTCCCACTCTCTGTCTTTCCTTGACTGTTGAACTGTTTTGACAGAGTTAATTGAGTAAGGAGCCAGAGACCCATGTGATACATTGCTTAGAAGAAAAAACAAAAAAATGTCAGATACAGGCATGGCATTAGAGTTGGCTTATCAGAGATGTGTTAGCCTGAAGTGCAGGAGCAGCAGAACTGACTTTGGGAACACAGGCTGGAGCAGAAATAGACTGGGAGACAGTTCCACACCCAGAGGACAGCTTTTTACACATATGGTTGTATTTGCTGGAAAGTTCTCTTCTACTTAACCCTGTATGGGAGACTGCCGTGGAGAATCTGACACAGCTGCTTCTCCATGTGCAGAAAGAGCACATCACACAGAGAAGCAACTGTTGAGACTGTGAAATCTGATTTATTAGATAAGTGTAAATATATAAATGTAGCCATATAATAAGTACTCAGTCTAGCCTCAGAGTCTGAAGTTGTCAATTTTTACAATCAAATCTTGATTCTCTTATTTCTGTCTTGCCTCAAGCTTACAGGCCCCAAAGACTCAGTTGATAAAGTGAAAATGATATTTTTCACTTTGCTTGGCATAAGACACAACTTTATCCCTCCCTGACCTCTTTCTGCCTCTTTCTTGACCTTTTCCCAGTAACCAATTATTTTTATTTGAATAAAATAAAATGTATCTTTGACATACCTCTCATTAAACATCAACCATGTTGGCAGGTTGTACAGGGATGGAAAACAAAGATTTTTACTGCGGCAATCAGAGGATGAAACATCGTTTTTTAAGTGTCATGAAAAGGTCTAAGATTATAGGACACTGCTCTGCTCCTGAAAGTATTGTCTACTTACACTAAGAAGTAACAGAATAGTGAGGTGTTGCTATTATGATCACCTGAAACTTGAGGAGAAAAAAAAGTAGTTCAATCAAAAGAATTCTAAGCTTTCCCCCAAGTTTCAAGAAAATGTCTATCCACATTTTCCTGCAAATGTTCCTTTCATTGTTTCATTTCTTTAATGTTGTTTGCAGACATAGATCTTGCCTTAGTAATGGTCTGTACATTCGGTCAAAGTGACAGGTCTGAGGATTCCAGGCAGCTTGGGAAGAGGCATGAAAGGCCAGAACCAACGTCAAGGGGTCAGAAGTGAGCACAGGACACGTGGAAGCTCATCTTCCCCAGCAAGAGGGAACTCAACAGCTCACATCTACAGGCAGCAATGGGGGCTGCTTGTCCCTGAGAACAAGGCATAAGCCCAGTATTCAGACTCCTGAGGGGATGAGGCAGTAGTGGCTCAAGCTTGAGCCCCAGAATGAGTACAAGGATAATCAGGGCTCAGGAGAACAAGCAGAGGGCAGGCAGGGCTAGTGGGGCCAGGTCAAGCATCAAGAACACCAGGATGTTATCCTGTAAAGAGAAGAGGAAAATGCAGTAAGGATGGGTATAAAGGCCAGGAAGGAATTATTCACTTGAAACTCACATTAGCTAAGGGAGAAGTCTGGGGCTCAACACAGGAAAAAGAGCTAAGCTATGTATAAATCCCATATTGATGTGAGCCAGGCCAGAACCTGGTGCAGTATCCCAGGGACTTACTCAGCTAGCTCCATGTGAGTCACAAACAGTACTGATATCGATTAACATATCTTATCCTCAAATAATCACAAAGTCTTTGAGGTAAACTGGACAAGCGTCTTTCTATTTTACCCATGAAAACACTTAGGTTTAGAGGAGTTAAGTGATTAACATTACACAGCTTCAAAGTAGCAGCAGCAGGGTCAAACCCTAGCCTCCTACAGCTAAATTTATTCATCTCTGGGCACTAACTGCTTCCCAAATTCCTTGATCAACTATCAGTTCTTATCTAGTTCCAGAGTCAGTGGTTTAACCAAGTAGCCCCACGTGGATTACACAATGGGGCTTCAGACCTGAGGCTCTTTTGAGTCAGCCACCCAGGGGCTGCACTTGCATTTTTTAACCAAATTGGGACAGGGCTTCTTCCTTCAATCCCCTGAAGAAGTCTATAGTTCAGGGCTGGTATTGTAGTCTCTCTAATAAGACCCTCTCATGGGCATTCTCAGAAAGCCCCCTACCATAGTTCCACTCTCACAGACTAATTTAAAATCTAGGAGTGATGGCAAATAGAATGAGGTAGAACCATCTTTCATAGTTTAACTTAGAGTTTCAAGGTTAGGGTCATCTAAGAGAATAACCTTGGGTTGAGAGTAAAGACTGTTTATTATGGTTCTGCCATATGATTTGAAAGCAATTTTAATGATTTTGAAGAGTTGCTTAGTTTCTCCAACTTTCACTTTATGTTTAATATAAAGACATTGATCAAATAATTTTCAGAACACCTGTTTTTACATTCAATACCTGTATGTTCTCACAATCAATACCTGTATAGTGTCAGCCCTACCTCTACCCACCAGCCCCAGGAATAAAACCTACCACAGGACCTGGACTTCCAGCCATATCCCTGGAAGTACTTACAGAGCAGGTGATGACTATGAGCAGCTTCATGGCGCTTGTGGAGATACCCTTTTCCCCAGAGTACACCCCCATCATTTCCTCTTCCTTTATCATCCTCCTCGCCAGCCCTTGTGAACTCTCCATCTGTAGGACTTACCTGAGCAGATGACAGCCACATCTTCCTGGTGGGTGCAGTCGTGATATCCCCAAAATCTGTGCTGGCACTGCTCCAGGGACTGCTCCTCTCCTGAGCAATGAACATTATCCAGCCAGATGCGGCCAACCCCAGGGCCATAGCTTTTCCGGTCTTTGAAGGACGGAGAGAGGGACTTCCCACAGCCCAGTTGCTTGCATACCACCTGGTCCTCCTTTTCTCCCCAGTTATCATCACAGACAGAGCCCCATACGCCCTTGTGCAGCACCTCCAGTCGCCCAGAGCAGAGCTTGTCTCCTCCTACTAGTCTCAAGTCAAAGGGATCTGCAGGATGGGGGAGGAAGTCAGGGGTTGGAGACAGAAAGGGAAAGGAGAAAAAATAGATCATTTATTTTAAAAATTTTTTCATTTTGTATTCGTTTGTTTGTTTGTTTTGAGATATCATCTCACTCTGTTGCCCAGGCTGGAATGTAGTGGTGTGATCACTGCTCACTGCAGCCTCAACCTCGAGGGCCCTAGTGATCCTCCCACCTCTGCCTCCTGAGTAGCTGGGACTACAGGTGCATGCCACCAAGCTCAGTTTTTCTTTTTATTTTTTAGGAGACAGGGTTCTATGTATGTTGCTCAGTCTAGTCTCAAACTCTTGGGCTCAAGTGCTCCTCCCACCTTGGCTTCCCAAAGTGCTGGTATTATAGGTGTGAGCCACTGCACTGGCCGAGAAGATCATCTACATCCTCACCACCCCCATAAGCACATTTGAAACTCTCCACCTGTATTTCTGTGATTAGAGCTCCTTCTCTCGCTCTCCATCAGGTTCTAACCCCTGTTGTCCAGGTCGGCTTCCCTCACAAGGATCTTTTCACTTCCCCATCTATTTTATAAATCTAATATTTATAAATGACATTCTAATAAGTTTTAAAAATTGAAGAACTTAACAGATATATAGAAAGATGTACCTTGTTCTTACAATATAGAATTCAAAATAGTAAGAGTTCATATTAATATAGTGCTTAATATTTAAAGCATTTTCAGATACAAAATTGGGTATCATTATATCCATTTCAAAAACAAAGGAATTAGCTATCTGCCCAATTAAATAAGTTTGCAATGGTCCTTTGGTGCATGAGTAGCTCTTTGTAAATACTGTTTGGATGAGATTCCACATAATTAAATCCATGAATAAACCTAGTCTCTGGATGCACAGGCATTACCTTCACATTCGACCCACGTGTCTTCATCATGGATGCAGGTGCTCTTCCCCCAAGGCCCAGAAGGGCAATCCTGAAGGGTTGCTTCTCGTCCTGAGCATGACATCTGGCTCAGCCAGATGGATCTTTGGCCCTGGGCAGGCTTGTTGCAGCGTTTTTGAGTCAGTACAGCCCTCCCACATCCCAGCTGCCGGCACACCACCTTTGCGGCCCGGAGGCTCCAGCCTGTCTGGCACACACTATACCACTGCTTCTGGTGCTTCACTTCCACGCGTCCCTTGCAATGCCCAGGGCCATCAGCCAGCCTGACATTCTCTGGCACTGGGGATAAAGGGCTCTCTGGGTCTGAAGGGAAAGAAAGAGAGTGTGTCTGTTCCCTGCCAGAACATGGTCTTCTCAGTAAAGGGGGCCCAATGGACACATCTCTCAGTTCTTGGTGTTCAGTACAAGGCATGCTAAAGTGCTTAACACTGCCTCATAGGTGCCTGCTGAAAGAATGAATGAGGGAATTAATGAAGAAAATGTAATTTCCAAATTCCAAGTTGAATCATTATCATTTCTGTAGCATTTTAGTTTTTCAAATTGTTTTCACATTCAACTTGTCATTTGATCCTCACAAGAGATCTTGCATAGACTTTTAAAAATAAATTCAATAACATACAAGATATGTCCAACACCAAATGCCTTTTGGTTCACTGTTGGCGTTGCAAACTAAATATATCAGATTAGTGCTCCCAACCCTCAATCTTTCTAAAAAATAGGACTGAGTCTTCAATGTCAAGGCAAAAGGTGACTGTTTCTCTAGAAACAAATTCTGTGGGGAGACAAAGAAAGAGGAGTCATGGACTAGCTCCTCAGTCACATCACTGTCTAATGAACAAAAAAGAAGAGACTATTCATACATAGAAAGCAAGTATACTGGGGGGAAGTAAAGGAACACAGACCTGTTTGTCTATATATTTCTCTATCATCTATCCACCTGTCTATTAGATTGTGTTAGTTTCCTATGAGTATCTCCTGTCTACCTGACTAGAAGATAAACTCCTGGAAAATTGAGACTATTTTTTAAAAAGCATACATTGTACTTTGTGAGCTCATTTCTCCCCCCACAACTCCATGCCCAGCTCCAGATACAGGATACTCTATTCAACAAATGTTTAGTGGTGTGTATGTTGGCATGTGTGTAAACAAGAGAAACAAGTTCTCGTATAGATTGAAACTAAGATAAAAGTATTTGGTCAATTAAGTAGAAATAGCAGTTCTAGGTGAAGATATTGTTTATCTCCAGCACTGACAATTGGGAAGGTATGAAATGTGGGGGGTGAGGGGCCAATTAGCCATTGTATGAAAGTCTATGGTGGGGAGTGAAGACAAACAAGAGTGGCCACGAGGGGTATGGCAGCTGGCAAGTGGTCCGGGGCCCCTGCCATACTCACTCTCACACAATGCCCCAGCATCTTCATTATGTAAACAATTGTAAGCTTCTTCTTGCTCACATTGAGCCAGTGTATCTTCTGTTCCTGTGCAACTGACCCCTTGGATGAAGACCTTTTGCTCGTTTTCTGCTGGTGGCTCATATAAAATACCACTGGGGGTTCCGTTGGCAGCTCCACAGCCCAGCTCCCGGCACACCACAGCCACATCCTTAATGTCCCAGCCGTCATCACACACGGTGCCCCACTGGCCATTCTGTTTCACCTCCACCCGCCCTTCACAGCGGTGGAGGCCCCCCACCAACCGCACTCCAGATGGAGACGCTACAAAGAGACAGGTTGTTAGCTAGAGGCCTGAGAGGAGCTCAGAGAGCCCTTAGGCATGTAGTCAGTCAATCTGGGACTCTTCCACCATTCAAATGGTATAGAGTGTTGAGGAACTAGAAATGAGGGATCAGAAGAAAAGGTGAGGAAGAGGAGCTTCAGAACTCCATCTCTGAGTTCTGGTTCTGCTACAGCCTTAATGGTACCCTGCCAAGAAACTCTACTTCAAGATACCTGGACATGACTGCTGGCATTTTCAGATTGAAGATTAAGGAAAAGAGGTTGGTTGAAGATCCAGCAGAGTTTTAGATTCTCTGGAGGTCAGAATCAGAAGGACCTAAAGAGATCATAAAGTCCACCACATTATTTCACAGATGAGGAAAATCGTCCTCATGAAAGTGGTGGTATTATGGCTACATTGTCAAAAAGAGGAAGTCCCAGGCCCGAACAGAGCTGTAAAGAGAATATCTGTTGTGTTTTTCTCCTTCTTGACTCTGTCTCTCTCCATGGCAGCCAGATTGAGGCAGAGTGTCTATAATTCAGGCTGAACAACCTAACTATCTCTCACTCTCAGTGGCCAATCCATGCCCATCCTTGCTGCTTCCTATGAAATTGTTCCTTGTTTGAGTGCCCACCTCAGAAGAAATACAGAGCACTGGGAAAGGGAAGAGTCAGAGTCTCAGAGCCCCAAGAGTTTGATCTCATTCTAGGGACTAGAAGCATAAAAGAGGATCCATGGAACCTCCAGATAAGTTGTGAGAAATCTAGGACTTGGTTCAGTTTCATGACTAGAACTCTGGAAGTAGAAAAGACTAACAGAAGTGGGGTGTGATGGCTCATGCCTGTAATCCTAGCACTTTGGGAGGCTGAGTCAAGTGGCTCACTTGAGGTCAGGAGTTTAAAACCAGCTTGGACAACATGGTGAAACCCTGTCTCTACCAAAATAATAATAATAATAATAATAATAATAAATAAATAAATACAAAAATTAGCCAGAAATTGCTTGAACCCAGGAGTTGGAGGTTGTAGTGAGCCGAGATCATGCCACTGCACTCCAGCCTGGGCAACAGTGACACTCCGTCTTGAAAAAAGAGAAAAAAAGAAAAGACTAACAGAAATTCTCTTCCTTCCACCAAGACATGCAAGGAGAGTAGAGATGGCTGTGTAGGGAGACCAGGGAAGAGCCTATTAGACAGCAAACACTTGTTAGGTGAGTACAATATTTCTGTTTTGTTTGTTTGTTTTTAGTGAACTCAGAGAACAGTGATGAACAAGAGAGATAGCATTGCTGCCCTCAAGAAGCTTATATTAAGCTTGGCAATCCCACCAAGCCTCTTGCAGCCTCAGAGCAATATAGCAGAGGCTGAATTTTCCATGTTTACATGGAGAGAGACAGTTAGCTGAGAGAGTTCTGGTGCACCAGGAGAGGTCACATTTGGACTGGAAGTCTATGGCCTATTGGAAGATGAACAGCTTAATAAGGGCCAACATGGTTCACATGGGATGAGCCAGATTGCATGCATGGATGGAACATGACTGCTGAGGACCAGATTTCCCACAGACTGCCTTGTCTCAACTGCACACAAACTCCCCAGAGTTTAGAATCAATCTAAGAGAAGTAGTTCAGTGAGAAAACTCTAATCTGGCTAATTTTAAACTACATCAGGAAGCTTATGTTTAGTTCATACATTTGTTTTTTTGTTTCTTTCCTTTTCTTCCTTAAATTTTTTTGGGAAAAAAATATATAAAAATGGAGGCTATAGATAGCAATTAAAAGTTAACCATAAAAAAATAAGACTTTTATATAAACCATAAAAAACTAAGAAAAGTTTTCATTTCCGCACAACTGAGTTTAAGGCTCATAGATCTGGATAAAAATATGATTTAAGAGCAGTTACCCAAAAATGTTTTTTATCTTCATGAGTAGCATGAACCATAAATAATTTTGGGGTCATTGTATCTGAGATTAGAGTTTGGATTGGCATTTTTGCGTACTACAGGAAATACTAGCTATCAGGATTAACTATATAATTTCTTTCCTTGCTGATTACAAAATTCTCAATTTTTAATCAGTTTTCATTTTCTATGGGGTAGAAGACTAAAATAGCCATGGGAAAGAAGAAATAAATTTAAAAAACCAAAAAACAAAAAATAAGTAAACAAGAAATTCAGGGAAAGAAGAAATAAATTAAAAAACAAATTTTTTAAAACAAGAAATTCAGCTTGATGAAACAGAAGGGCTGAGAAAAGAATAATCTGAATGCCCAGATGAGAACCCAGGAAGGTTGCATCCATCAGGGTATAGAATTCTCCACAGCAATAGCAATGTTTTTGGCTGCCCCTCTCTGGTAAAGTCTCTATGATTAAGCAGAAAGGGAGACTGGAGGGATAATATACAAGAAACTGATAATCCACAAGCCGTAGCCTCCCCTTCTATAAACTCACTCTCTCTGTGCACCCTTTCCTTGGGTTTATAATTTGTGCATTACCCAAAGACTGCCTGAGCAGGAAATCCAGCCTATACTCTGCTGGTCAAGCTATGTGCTGCAAGCAATAATACATTTCTAATTCAAACAAAGATACCATTAAGCCTGGCAGGGGGACCTGGATATGTTGGAAACCAAACAGGAAGACACCGAAAGGAAGTTCATTTTTCAGGTATGCCCATAAGGCAGTGAAGTGCATTCTAGACCTGAAATGAACCTAGCTCTTACTTGGATGCTGGCCAAGTGGCCACAGAAACCAAGTGGGGAGAGGTGCCCTGCCAGAATAAACCACCCAAACCCTTCTAAATTCTGGAGGTGGAAATCTGCCCACACAAGACTGAGTGGGTGAGGTAGGAAGCCAGAAAGGAAGTACGCTGGGCCTGTTTTGAACCAGTCTTTCTCTGTGGCTCAAGAAACTTCAAAATTTCCCCTCTCTTGAGCTTGAGGCCTCCCTCTCAGAAACCCCCAAAAATCTTACCTAGGAATCCAGGTCTGGTGCAAATGGCTGGTGAAGAAAGAAGGAAATGAGTGAGGTCAATTTCCAAGACTTTATTCAAAGAACACGACTCTCTAGAAAGCCTTCACAGAACCGTGTGAGACAAGAGTGGTAGATGCAACACCTCCAATGTCAGTCCTGTTGGGACCTTCTTCTGGGATGACCATCCTCCAAGGACACAGGGACACTGGCTAGAAATCACAGAGACCAATTCCACCACAGCTAACCTGTTCGGCCTGTTTCCTTCACACACAGTGGTGGATAGATTGGTTTCCTATTCTAGTCAATTTGATTGATTGGTTATTACTGCCTGAAGTAAAAGTGTGGTGATGCAGCCTCTTGGCTCAATAAGAAAGAGTGCTGGAGGCCACTGGGAAGATGCACTGGCTGGGGAAGATAAAGATGCCACGGTGGGCAGTGCAGAAAGTAGGGCAAAGGGGCAGGATATGCCTGTGTTCGTTGGCACAGCATTTAGACCAGGTAAGCAAACTCTTACTGTAAAAGGCCAGACAGTAATATTTTCAGTTTTGTGGGCCATATAGTGTCTGTTGCAACCAGTCAGCTCTGCCATTGTAGCCTGAGGACAGTCACATATATGTATGCAAATAAGGATGGCTATGCTACATTAAACCTTTATTTATTAGACACTGAAATTTAAATTTCTTGTCATTTTCATGCACCATAAAATATTATTTTTCTTTTGTTTTTTTCCTACCATTTAAAATTATAAACCTCATTATCAGTTTGCAGGCTGTTTTAGTTGATTTAGATGAATAGCTCAGAAAGTAGCTCTATATGTAGTTCCAAACCTCCAGATTCCAGCACCAGCCTATCTTTAACACATGGGAGTTTCTTCCTACAGGATCTCTGTATATTTGGACTCCTTTCTCCATAAGGTCCCTCCTAATGCTGCAGAGAGTCCTGAACCCTGTAACCTTCAGGAGTCCCTGAGGCCTATGCATTTTCAACTGCAAAACACCCACCTCCCCCATCTTATAGGATTTTTTGGAAGGAGCAAATATCTTTGGACCTCCAGCCTACAGTTTTTCAGGCAGATTCAAGTAGTTCAGTGGTTTACCCTGGAATGTTTTCTTTTCTTGGTTTCCAAGTAACTTCTCATTACCCTCATTCCCTTAATCTTCAGAACGTGGCCACTCTCAGACTCAAGGAGGCCTTCTCTACAACTGTCCAAAACTCAAGGTTATATTATACATAATGGGAAAAATTGCATAACCCCCACCCCAGCATGTGTACATGTGAAGGAAAGTGAGCATGACAAGTCTGATATGCAGGTGCAAACGTGATATAGCCAGTAAGTGACTTAGAAGCTCTGCAGTAGGGTGGGTAACTGCAGAAGGCATGGACCAGAAAGGCTTCATGAAGCAGGTGGAAGTGCAGATGAGCCTGGAAGACCCAGTAATATATCCATGAGGGGCAGGACTAGCCGTTGAGTGGTGTGGGGGCTGTATGGATGTTTAAGATGTGGTCAGTCCCTTACATTGAACACAAAAGTGTCCAGTTGAGAGGCTTGCATGGGCTTTGGTGATGCACTAGGTCAAGACATAAAAGTGGATGTGATTGATTAGTGTAGGGACTTACCAGGCCTTGTTAGATGCTTTATATTAGTTATCTTATAAAAAATACTGCTAAAAACCTCTGAGGAATGTAATCTTATCCTCACTTCATAGATGAGAGAGCAAGATTTCAGAGAGGTGTGGTAACCTACGAATTCATAAAGCTAAGAAATCAAAAAGGCAGGATTGAAAACCAGGTGTCCTTGGCTCCACAATCACCAGATTAACTAGGTTGATCTCTAGATTACTCTAAGCAATGAGAAACTTCAGAAAATTATATTTTAAAAAAACATTATATGAAACATTTTTCAGAGGAAACCAGACAATATGATCAATGAAAGGTGATTGTCTTGCAGTTCTACTTCCTTTCCTGGCTCTACTTGCTGCTACCCGGTGCCCATTCATTTGTCTTCTTACTAATAGTACATTTAGGAACATTTATGTAAAAAGAGAAATGGGATAAACTATCATTACTTTGTCATTACAAATATAGGAAAATAGAAAAAAATCTGATAAAGTGAATTACAAATGTGTATGGATTAAGTGGCTTTTAAGGATTAGACTAGTTACCAAATGTAGAAAGGAAGGAGAAGCTCACCCTTGAAAAACATCCAAATCTGTTCCAGGTTTGCAGGGAGAAAGTTCTCCTAATCAAAGTTCCAGAAAACTCTGAAGCCTAAACCAGCAGGTGCAGAGATACTCACCAAGGATCAAGGAGAATAGCAGAGCCATGACCAAGGCAGCTGAAGATGATGAGCTGAAATTTAAGGCTGGAAGGAGGCCCCCAGGCAGCAATATTTAGTTTGAGCTGCAAGTATGTTAAGAGGAGGGACAAAGACGGGTCCTGAGTGTGGTCAAAACATTATCAGATGATCAGAAACCAATAGACTCGGGAGGGAGAACGGACAGAGCTGGACTTGCTGAAATCAGCATGTTCCAGAGGAAGAGAGGTGGCCAGAACTGGCAGAAAATTGCTGAAAATAAAGCACAAACAGGCTGTCATGACTTGGTTCTGCTGTAAGTCCAGCTCCATCCATCTCTGCTACAGCCCCTTTGTTATGTAAACAGAGGAAACACCTCCCACAAGGAAAGGCAGGTACCAAAAATATGGTCATCTCTCAGTAGAAGACAGGGCAATACTTAGTCTCCAAGGATGGTTTGCAAGGGAAGTAAGCCAATTTTTATTCCTTTACCCAAGAGGGAAGTGTCTAGAAAATTTGGAAGCCAGAAGCCACAGGATAAGTGCAGAGTTGCCCTTGGAGGCATTCCCCATAAACCATAATCCATGGTGCCAATTTCCATATATAGGCCTGACTTTATTGGCTTCAAACCAGCTTTCTCAGTACTAAGCAGAGGGTCCAATATGCAGATTTGTTATTTTTCTATGCTTGTGCTGGTGTATGCCCATCTTTGGAAGCTGGATGGAAACAGATCCCTGAGGCGAGAGGCATCATAATCGTTGAACTCAAGTTGTCTGTAGGTCTAAGACATTACGGACAGAGATTAAGCAGTAAGACCCCCTCAGGCCCCTCTGCCTTGTTATATTATTAAGTGTAACTATGCTTCATGAGCTATTCTACTCCAGATTGATCAAGCAATCAATTTTGTATGCTAACATAATCCCTACATTCCAAGCAGGGTAATTGTTCCTCTACAGTGAGACATTTTTGCTTCTTTGTAACATTCAGGTCACTCAGCGGAAATCTTGGTTCATTGTAGCATTCATTTTTATTCCCGTGTTTCTTCACTTACTTAATGTTGTATTCAAGGAAACGTTTTTAGCACTCATGAATGCCAGGCAGTATGTGAAGGAACAAGGGATAGTTTTGCACTGTAAAAGTATATGGTCTAGTAGTTGTGATAGCATGTGGAAACTGCTGTTAAGAAGCAAAAGTATAAGAAACTTTGGAGGCCAGGCAAGGTGGTTCATATCTGTAATCCCAGCACTTTGGGAGGCAGAAGTGGGAGGATTGCTTGAGCCCAGGAGTTTGAGGCTGCAGTGAGCTATGATCAGGCCACTGCACTTCAGCCTGAGTGATAGAATGAGAACCCATCTCTGGGAAAAAAAAAAAAAAAAGAAATGAAATGAAACTTTGGAGGAAATGGTTACTCTGTTTGGAGCTAATCAGAGAAGACTTCACAGTAATGATGATACTTGAGCAGGGATTTAGGATGAGTTAAGTGGAGAATCTGAATAGGAAAATATTTTGCCATGCATGTGCAGACAAGTGAAATAACATTACTTATTTAAGGAATCACAGGTAATTTGGAATGACTGGATTATAGCCTGCTTAGTGATCAGGGGCCAGGGGTTACTGATGTTGAAAGTAAAGACACTAGATGATATGCAAGTAGCAACAAGAGCCAGATAATTGAGGGTCTATTATGAATGGGTTTATAAATGCTAACTATTCGTATCCTTCCCTCTCTAGATTCTGAAGTGACACAATAATAGGTACAGAATTCAGAAAAGCTTCAAAATATCATATTTACTGTTGATGAAGCTACATTAGACTGCCACTGGGATCTAAGGTTCTATGCATTTACCTTCATTCTTCAGGAGCCAGATGTGCACAACTGAGTTTACCCTTGGAAAAAAAAAAGACTTTGTGTGGCTTGAGGGAAGACAAACCTATTAGCAAACACAGGTTTCATAATTGAGAAATATATTTTCCCCATTCCATGTGGAAAATTGAGTGAAGGAAGAGCAGAAAAGAAAAAGAAAACTTTTCCCCCCAATATAGTATTTTATGAAGAGGCATGAGAATATGAAGAAAGGAAAAGGAAGTTTTTTAGCCAGGAAGGACATTATCCCACAGGACACAGGAAGTCACCAAAGGGTGTTACACATTTGAGGTATGTATTTTGGCTGCAGCACTGAGGAGGATATGGGATGGAGGACACCAGTAATGGAACATTAAGACCCATTAAGAGATTACTGAGCCAGAGAGAGCAGAGGAGGACTTCAGTAGGAGGTAGAAGAACGTACCTGAAACCTACTGTGTTTGGAAGATAAAAGTTACTTAACATGAGCAAGGAGGCTGTATTGGCTGGAAGCTTCTAAAAAGTGGTAAAGGTCTGAAATAATCACTAAAAGGAAAGGGAGTCTGAAAAAAGACAACTAAACTATCTGTTTTCAGCATTGGGTAGAAAAACTTGCATTTGTAAGCAACATCCATGTGCCCAGTTGTGGGATCTTCTCAGGCTGCAGTCAGAAGGCTGATGTGAGAGGCCCATAAAGCCAGAGTTCAAGCTGAGGGACCCGCCCAACTGGTGCATGAGGCTTAGAGAAGACCAGGACATGGGCTGATGAAAAGTGAAAACAGAAATAAGTTCTGGGAAAGGGAACCTAAGTGAGGGAAGTTCTGGGGAAAAGGAGAGTGTTAGAAAGTTCAAGGTATAGGAAGTTGTTCAGACATTTGGAGAGAAGTGCTTGAAGTTTCAGAGAAGCTGTTCTGAGCAAGACCAGGCACAAGCCAGTGTATGAGAAGAGAGTGAAGGAAGAAGTTTCAGAAGCTGAGGGGTTTAGGGAATTGAGAAGTGGTTATCAAGAAGATGACCGCCAAGAAGAGGGAGGTGGAATGGGAGGCACAGGTTGGGGAAGCCCAAAGCTATGCGGAAGTAGATACCTGTCTGGAGGACATCAATACATGACACACAACAAAAGCTAGAAGACACTCTGAGGGGCCCTCTCAGGGAGGGCAAGCTTCCTGTCCTGCAGGTTTGGCATCAAGGTGAAACCCCTCGGATAAATAGTTGAGTATGTCAATTGTGGCTCCGTGAGAGTAGAAAACCATCCAAATTGCTCCCCCTTACACATCAAGTGCTTAACATGCAATAAATGATTGCTGAATCAACAAATGCATGCAGGAATGATTGTATTGTGAGACGGAACATCACCGAGCCTTTAGACTCACCAGAAATGCCATCTCTTGGCTCTGTTCCTTGTCCACATTGTGCTTTCTGGTGGCTGGGACTGACATTCTGAGACTCTCCCAGGCCAATGTTTTATAGGCAATTGATCTAGAACACAGGGTTCTGATGGGTTTGGTTGCTCTTTCCTGTGTACATCTGCAAACACCTCTAAATAATCGCTTGGATTCTCTTCCGTTGCTCTCACTGTGTCCCTTCTCCCTCCCCAGCAGTGACCAAAATGGAGGAGAAGCTCGACATTATGTCACATGAGAAATAGATCCAGGCCTTGGGGTTCAGGGAACATAAGCACTGTCTTCAGGCACTTAAAATAAAATTGTTCTGTGGGATTTGGGAGGAGTAAACACCATGTACGTATGGAAACTACAGTTGACACAGGTTTGAACTTGGCTGGTCCATCCACTAATACACAGATTTTTTTCAATGAAATACAGAGGGCAAATTTTTCACACATGCAAGAACTGAGTATCTGTGCATAATAAGGAACGACTACATAAAAAAATGTAAAACCCATCATAAGAAAAAAAAAAAAAAAGACAGAATAGGTTTCCCTAGAGACCATAAGCTCTCTATAACTGTACACGTTGAGTCACATTGCCTGTTAATAGGTCCATTATTTATGGTTGGTTATTATTAATACTTTTTTTATATCACTAATCTTAAGATTGTTTATGGCAAAGAAAAATCCAATCACTCACAGAAAAGAGGCCCTAAGGACTTAGGAGTTAAAACTCCAGCACCAACCCTGTCAGTCTGGGCCCTTGTGAATGCTGCCAGGCAGACAGGACACCTGCACTGTGGCCTCCCTCAGGGTCATGACAAAATTGCAATGGCTTTTCATTCTTCAGGTATCTGCAATGAGGGATCCAAGAGGACAGAGAACAGATGATAGCAGCCCAAAAGCTGGAGTCCACAGGGAGGAAACTCAGTGAGCCTCCCTGTCCACGGTGCCCTGGTTGAACCTAGACTGCCTGCCCACATCCTGCTAGCAGCAAAATCGGCCCTATCTGTCCTTGTGTCCCTGGTGTGCTCTGCCCTGGAACTTCTACCTGTGCTTTTCTGGACTTTCCTGGAACCATCTTCAAAAAGCAACATTACAGTGCAGAGGCTATGAGCATGGGTTTTGGGTGCAGGCAGACTTGGCTTCCAGTTCTCATTCAGTAGCTTACTAGCTGTGGGACCCTGTACAAGATAGATGGGTCCTTTCTTGGTAGCTTTGTTGACAAGATCTATGCTTTTTTTTTTTTTTTTTTGCTAGGATGATCAGTTTTCATTTCTTCCTTTTAAAAACTGAACATTTAATTAATTTAATCTTGCTTAATCCACATGCATGTTCCTCTTTTAAATGGGAAATCATAAGTGACAGGAAAGCAAATAACTTACAGGGTCACACCTCAGAAGCACTCTGGAAGCACCCCGCAAAGAGGTCAGCTCACTTCCAAAGGCTAATTAGCCTTGTCCAGGCACCATTGTGCCCCAAAGTCAGGTCACTGGACACATATTCATGCTGAAAGCCCACATTCTCATGTCAGAATAAATGGTTCAGTACAGGACTCATGAAGAAAGAGGAAAGAGGAGCTATCCAAGGAACTGGTCTGGCATGGGAAGTATCATGAGGGTTACTAGACATCACTGCACTTTGCTGCCCCTGCATGGAGAACATTACACCAGTGCAAAATTTGAGTTTTGTAAAAGAGTCACATGAATAGTTTTCTCATGAGCATTCCCTACTTAGCCTTGATAATATTGTACTGTGAAATTCCAATCCTTCTTTACCAAGCAGATCATGATTTTCCTTAATCTATGTGATTGAGAGAACCATCTGTTCTACCTAGATCCCCCACACCAATTTCTCTTCTTGAGGGTCTGCCAATCCTCTCTGTGTGTCCACATCACTTCTGTCACATGTGGTCTCGGGGACTGGAGAGGGGGATAGTTTCCTATTTTCAGCTCCTGACTCCTCTTTTATTAACTGGTGTTCACCACCTACTCTTGAAAACAAGTTGGAAATGGAATAAAGAGATAATAATGATACAGGAGA